ACACACACACACACACACGCCTCCCTATTAGGACTGTGTATTGACTTTCATTCATCGTGGACTTCATCTCTAACCAGGACTAATTTAACGTTGAACTAATCTTAACCAGGACCCATGATTCATTGGGACCACTCACTTTATAACACACATGTTCACGTGTTCACGTGTTCACATGTTCACGTGTTCACCTGCTCAGGGTCATGAACATGTTTTTGATTCCATGTAGTTCACACAACAGAAACTTTCAAATTAAATCTCACACATTCTTCTTTACTTTAATTCATTTGAATCATCTTCTGCTGCTGCTTCGATTCCGTGTCGTAAGTTACTGGAACTTATTTATTCCTCATGTGCACACACATGTCAACACGTGTGTGCAGCTTTACATGACTATTCGTGTTATTTGTGTAAAACACAGGATGATTCATCTCAATGGGTTTATTCTACTATAAACTTTAATATGATTTATTGATGATTTATTCATTGTCCTGGTCGTCACAGCAGAGGACACGTCACATCAGACAGACGTTAACTGACAGAGACGTCCTCCGGACAGCTGACGAGAGGAGACACACACACGTCTCTCATCAAATGCACAAGCCTAACTCTAACTCTGACTCTAAACCTAAACCTAAACCTAAACCTAAACCCAAACCTAACTCTAACTCTAACCTAAACCTAACTCTAACTCTAACTCTAACTCTAACCTTAACCTAAACCTAACTCTAACTCTAACTCTAACCTAAACCTAACTCTAACTCTAACTCTAACCTAAACCTAACTCTAACTCTAACTCTAACCTAAACCTAACTCTAACTCTAACCTTAACTCTAAGTCTTAACCCTCAAACAGCCCTTTTGAATTTGTGAGCACCAACAATGTGTCCTCACATGTGCACCAGTACAGTTTGTGTGGACATTGCAAACTGTGGACATCCTGATGGTGTCAGCTGATGGTGGACCCTGATCACAACAAGACTTGTTGATACACAACATGTCTCCTCACAACTAATGTAGTAAACCTGTTGTTGTGTTGATGTCTTCAGTTCATCAGCATCTATTGTCCCCGTGTCCTGGAGACGGATCCTCACATGTGACTCTGAGCTTCAGTTACTGCTCAGAAAGTGTCTCTGGTAGTTTGACTCTTGTTGAGTGAAGGACAGAGGACGTTGCTGCTTGTTGACATCGATGAGACAAACTGAGTATAAGACAAATAAACTGTGATGATTGATTGATTGATTGATTGATTGATTGATTGATTGATTGATTGACAGTGAACAGTATTGGTCTGTGGTGAAAAGTAATGAACAGATGATGTGAAGTTTCATTCGTCTAAAATCAGCTCACGTTCAAACTGAGGTTCAAAGGGAATTTTTTATCTTCATCAGCATCAACATCACCTGACGTTAATTATTAAACTGCTGCTGATTGGACGAATAAATATTACATCACAGAGCG